TGGGGTAAATCACTGACCTCGGCTCGATGAAATTTAATTCAATCCGATAACAACTCGATGACGATCTTCTTTTACAAAGAGATATATTGCAGACGCGCGAATTCCGCACGCGCGCGGAAGGCTGCCCGGATTATCGCGCTCGCGATATTTCCCCATATTCCGCGATCTTACATCCTCATCCGGCGAATAACATACGGAAATTATTTAAGCCCCGGCCGCTTAGGTATCGCCGACGGTGGCCTCCGTGCTTACCCTCCCGGCTTGTATTTTCTCCTGGAAGCCGGGCATCGTATTCCATTAAGAATAACTGCCGTATTAATTATACTCTTTCTCCCCACGGCGCGCGGAGGCGAAGGCGCGAGCGAGCGAATGAACGAAACGCGCGCGCGAATCGATACGACCGATCCTCTCGCTGCTCGTGGGGTCGCCGGCACGGTGCTGCGAGGAGGATCTTAAAATAGGTGATTTCTATGCGAAGCGAGCTAAGTACGTAAGCAGGTAGTCGAATGTAACGCGATAACATTCGGGATCAGTTAACCCTGAAGACGCATGGTCTCGCCGGGCGAGAAACCGTTTTCTCTCCCTCCCTCCCCGACGAGCGAGGGTCTCCGGTGTCTCGTGCCCCGCGCTCTATTCATCGGACACGGAAGAATAACATTTCACCGGTTGTCAGCTCGGTCGAGGAGGCGAGGGTAGCCCGCGCGCGACAGCTTTATCGCGCCGCGGGAAAAGCCGCCCCCGCTAAATGAAACGGATCCATAGGCATCGATCGGCGGTGTGTCGCCCGGCCGCGTGTGTACACGTAGTTCGTCTGAAACGAAACGAGCACGGGAGAGCGTTTTTCCTCGTATCTAATAGACGCGCCAATTATTCAATGAAAAATCACGAAACAAGGACTCCGCTCTTTCTCCCTCGCGACATTGCGCGCTATAAGCGTCCCGCCGTTTATCGACGAGCCCTCCTTCGCAACGTCGCGACGCTTTGTATCGGCTCGTTGAAGAAGATTGTACGGTGAAACGGGTGTGATAAGAATCCTAATGAGAAACTTGCACTACGTGGAACATTGTCTGACTGATCGTTAGTTAATTCGAAGTTAGTTAAGTAGTAATTAAAAAAGGACTGAGCGTTCGTGAGCGATTTTAAAAGAAAATTCGCACTTTTTCCACGTGTTCATTGAGATTGGCGTGCTATTAATTTCTATTAATTTTTACTTTCAATAGATTTTCTAAGATAAAAAGTAAGATTCTGGTGAAAAGCTACTATGATATTAACAAACTAATGCGCAGATACACCAATTTTTTAATTATTTTGTTTTGAAAATACTACACAAAATCCATAATTTGTGATAAAATCTGGGAAATACATACATATATTTTGCATATTTAGACACTTATACACACTCTTTTTATTATCCGTGCATTTCTATTAGATCACAACTATATCTTTACTTCAATTTCGTTTCAAATTAACATTCATAATTTAGACAGTGAAATAAATACGCAGAAACGTAATTTCGCTTGTCAAATACTAAATTTATAAGTGGACCCCTGATGCTTCACTGAAAAAATTCGACACTGGGCCTTACAACCTTCTTGAGACACTGGAAACGCTAGATCCGTCTTTGTCGTGTCGATAGAAAAGGAACAAAAGAGAGAGAGAGAGAGAGAGAGACGGAGTGAATTTTTCTCACGGTGTGGCGAAATTCTGATTTGATATCGTGCAAATCTGGACGGTAGAATCGGCGAGAAGCGGCTCGGCGCGATGCGTGTATTATGCAAAACGGCCCAAGGGGGATGAAGAAGGGCCGCGCGGTCCTCCCTCGTCACGTAGCGGCCATTACGCGCGGGGATTCTCCGACAGGCTCGTCGACGGCCGCACCCCGGATGAAGCCGGGATCGTTTGGATATTGACTTTCCCCGATGCGTCACGGATGACAAAAGATCCGACCGGGTCTATATTCGTTTACGACACCGGCAGATGCTGATAGGAACCGGAGCCAGACGAATCGGCTCGTTTACGCGGCTGAGGCGAGGCACGACGGAGATTGAATGTTAGCGCGGCCGGCCGACGCGGAGAACCGCGTAGTCGAACGTCCTCGTTAGGGCCAGAAATTGCCGTAATCGTAAGACGGTAACTTTAACATCCAATCAGGATATTACTTTTCGGTTGATGTGCAAGAAGATGGAAGTGACCGTGCAACTGGAACTCAGGACTGCGCAAGCAGGATTTCAATCAGCCGAATTCTACTCCCGCTTACGATCAGATCTGCCGGTCAGTTCTATCTTCTTCTAGAGTACACGAACCTGAAGGAATATCCTGATTGGTTCTTCGGCCCAAATTTTGTTCTCTATTGCGGCAATTTGCGTGCGAAAGCTGCGCATTGCTGGCGCGGACTGGATTCCGATTGCAAACTGCGAATCGTTGGGCAAGCAATCAGATTGAAGTGTCTGGTCGCGGTATTTTGTCACCAATGCCACTAGTTTCGAGTGAGATTTCACAGCAGGAAATTCCAAGAGCTTCAAAAACCATTCTCATCGCAAAGGTGTGGTCTGGGCTAATCCTTGGGACCGCTTTTCAGCCGAGACGATAAAATATTTATGTCATCAGGTTAATATACACGCTCTTCCGGCGAAGTGTCAGATTTTGGGAAATTTACGAGCTCCCTCGTCGAGAAATCTCTCCTCGTCTCTTATGAAAATCGCTACCGAAGCGTGACTTCAGCTTGAGCACGAGCGCGATTTAGCGCGAGCGTCGATCGCGCGCTCGGAATACGTATCGCAGGGACAGAACGGGACTCGTTCGCGAGGATAACGCCGAGATAACGGCGGTCGAGGTTTAAGATCAGTCGGACGAGATCGCACGATGAATCCGTAAAAACGAGGCCGCCGATCTCGCGCGAGATTAGAGCTCTCTTTCTCTCTTCGTCCGTCATCGACGGCATTTTAGGACACCGACACTCCCCGACGACGCGTTGCCTCTCCTGCCGCTCGATCCCCGCCGTTATCTCTTTGGTGCTTCTCAGCGACTCACAGCCGCTTCCAGGGACGCGTTATCGCCACGCTACCTTCCACACGTGACGTGACAATCGACGAGGACACCGATTGCGACGCGTCTTGCCCGCCCCTCGGCTACCGGCTACCTCGAAACGCCCGGCTCGAAGCCGAGCGAGCAGCGGAGAAAGCGATATCACGGCGATAAGCTCTCTTGCGCGGTAGCGTTGTTGACGGCCACGGATACCCCGGCGGATCAAAATAACGCGTTTTCTAGCGAGCTCGGCGAGGGGAACTAAAGCGAAACCGCGCGAGCGAGCGAACGACGTTACCCGAAGCCCCACGGCCTCAGGATATTCTTCGCGTCTCGGGTAAGCGCGGCAAGTGCGCGGCGGCAACTTGGAGCGCTCGAGTATCTCTCGCGTGTGCGAGAATTCGAAGGAACTCCTAAAATGTAACACAGAGAGAGAGAGACGTCAGATATGCTCGCTTTTTACACCCCGGTCTAACGGGTCCTGAAAAATTACCCAACACGTCGCGAGCCCCATTCGTTTCGGCAGGCGTGATACGGCGGCGACGCGTGTTCGAGAGACGAGACGACGCTATCTACGATCCCCGTCCTTCCCCTGCCCGCTTCCGGCATCGTCTCCGGTCCGGTCTCGTCTCGTCCGAATACTTTTCCGTAGGAAGTGCTTTTCGTCGCGCGCCGACGAACGTGACCCGAGTGAGAGCCGCGAGATAAGTCGACGGGTAATGACTTTCGATCGTGACACTCACGCCATGTTCCGAGTCCTCGATGAGATCCCGGAAGCTGGAGCGGCACGTGTTACCTCTCGCCGAGCTCCGTCTCCCCCGGCCTCTCCTCCGTACTTTATCTCTCGTCTAGTATACTTTCGGCTTCGAGGGAAGTCGCCGATATGTTTACTCGCGCCACGCACCGTTTCACCGGCCCGTCCGCGCGCTCCATCGGAACGTGACGCTCGGGCTTTTTACGATCTTTTACGAGCGCCGATGGAGCTTACGAGATGGACTCGTGTTCGTACACCGTGTTTAACGCCACTAAACGCGGCCCCGCATCCTTCTAATCCGTTAAGTTGAACGAGGCTTTTCGGTCGGCCGGCGATTTGAATCTTGCCTCGACGCGTTGAACGACCGCGTCGGTGAGCGCGCACCGATGACAGCCACTACGATCCCGACGCCTCCCGTTAATAGCGAATTCGATCGCCCGCACTGCACCGGATTAGCACACACTAATGGCCGCTGCGCATCGCGTATACAAACACACCGGCATAACGTAAGCGCTCGGACGGTGAAAATAACATTGGTCAACAAGGTTTCGGTAACATCGGTGAAACCTATATTTCGTGCTCTCCTGTTGACTCTTCTGTTTTTCATGTTTGATATTCAAAAGTAGCACGTTATTTTTTATGAGAAGGAAAATCCATCTGTGCGATGTAAAATTCAAGAAATAAAAGGGATATTTCTATTAAAAAATGACATCCTGATAAATATTTAGCATATAACATTTAGTAAATTAGAAAAAAGTTATATGTACTACAGAGTTTTTATTGATATCTTTATATTCAGTGAACAAAAACAATTAGGGACCTTCTTATTATGTGATTGAAAGAAAACTTTTATTTGTTGAGTAGTGTTAATTAATATATAATTCTACCAAATAACATGACAATGTTAATTAATATATGTTATTTGTTCAAGATGTTCATGTACTTTTTATTTAAATAATTGCTTCATATACAACATACATCAATTCGGTATAAAGCGAGCGATCGAATTCGCTATAAGTTACGCGCGAAGCCTAATTAATTGCGGTTCAAAAAGTTAGTCGTGCGACCGATAGGGATAATTTAATCAGTAAGTAACCTTATTAAAACAAGGAAAAAGGCTACTACTTTCAACTAAAGTTCCGTGTCATTATAATTGCCAGTGTAATATGACAAAAGTGCATAACGTGCGAAAGTATTATTTCGGATTTAAGTATTCCTTTTATCATTTCTCGTACAATGTTCTGAGGAAATTCATTAATTGTTCATTGATGACGAGGGTCAGCACAGTGTGCGGACCGATTCTGCAGTAAGTCGGCCAGAAACCTTTCCAAAGAGACCCTAATCCTTCCGTTTTTGCGATGGATATCATGACTGCGAATGCACTTGGTGGTTTGCCGATGCTCTTCATATTTTGTATCCTACGGAAATCATATACGAAATTTTTATCAGATAGATATTTCAATTAGTGTATCTTGCAAAAAGCGCAAAAATCTAACCGGGTTTTAGCGATGTCAAAGGGCATAGAATTGAAGGTAGTCAGGAAGCCAGATACCATCGACGCATAGAAGTGCAAAGCTACGGTTTCCGGGACATTCACTGGGGGAATAAATCGCGAATTATTTTCTGTATTTTGGGCATTCAAATGATTCTCGGGAATCGGTACTCTAATCGGTTTGTAGAAGAAACACGGAAACACGAGCGCATTACGCGGATGGAAACGTACATCGTGTCGCTATTAAATATTTCACTTGACTATAAGTCGCCAATTGTGAAACGTTGACGACAACGGCTCTTGCCATTGTGGCTGTGCTTCCTCTCCAGAGTGTAAATACACCTTCCTCTTTAGCTATCCTGCTGAACGCGTCGAACACGTTTTTATAATTCCGTCGCTGCTCTAAAAGTAACAAAGAGAGAAAGTGATAAGAAAAGAAGAAAAGAAGAAATCAAGCTTCTAACATCGTACCAAAGGCTTCATTCATGGCATGTTCCTCTCTGGACACATAGTGACATCGAAAATTTTTCACTTACACAGTAAAAAATATTTTATACTTGTTAAATTAAATTTTTAACATAGCTGTGCGCGTTCATTTGACATATTGCATTTGTGTTATTTCAACGTTTCTGAATACTTTTGCACATCATTTTCTGAATATTTGTGCATCATGATTATTGATTATTTAGTGAATCCGCCCCATAGTAGCTGTTATGACGCACAAATGTTCAGAAATGATGCGCCTAACTGAAAATTTTCCATGTCACTATGTCCAATGAATGGAACTGCATTAGTGGAGTTTTGTGTACAAAGGGAGATTCTGTTCACTCGAAATCCACGTATCAATGAATGACCATTGAAAATGTGTCGAATACTAACCTACTGGCAATCTACCATCTGTCGTCATTCTCACTAGGGCAACATCGGCTGGAGTCCCGACAAAGGCTCCCGTAGCACCAGCAACCCCGGCCATAAGCGCTAGAATAGCGAAATTGGGCGGACCGACGTACTTTTGTCTAATTGCATATGAAATATAATCAATTTGCCTGTCGAAACTGTATGAGATGCAAAGGTTCAACTATTTCGATCACTTCGATCATTCACGCGCGATTCATTGATTGAAATTTTATATTCCTACAATTGGCATATTAAAAGATCGCAACACTTTGTTTTCGACAAGTTTCGTAGCGCATTCCGCGCCCAATAGAAGAGAATTCGTTCTTTAATCATTCTCAAGAGATATGTCTTCCTATTTGTACACGTATATGTGTATGTACGATGCCCAAGAAATCACTCACCTCCAGAAATCTTGCATCTGATTGTAAATCCCGAGTCTCACGGTCGTGTACGTGGCTTGTCTCACCAGACCGGCCGTTAAACCGCTGTAAAACTTGGTGATACCTTCTTGGCTGTACACAGTGCCGATCAGGCTCACTATCGACACTTTGCCCTTCTGTATTTGCATTCGGTTTTTTATCACGTCCATCGGGTGAACCACGCAGGTTGCCGCCATGCTGAAACGCACGAGCAAAACTCGATAACGACAAAATGGATAGGACGCGCGCGGCCGATATGCGGATAATTTAATGGATTACCCCGAAAATCCAGCGTTCAAGAAATTAATCCACGGTGGTAAAGAACGTTTTGCCTTCGCCTTCGGCTCTTCGGCTGGTTTCGACATTTTGCTTTAATTACTTTGGTGAAATCGACGCGAAATATTTACGCGAACAGGTCGGACGGACGTAGCGATTCGCTTTGACTTTTCATCTCGAGATAAAGCGTTTCGAGCTGGTCGTCGCGAAATGCACGCGCATCGAAATCCCTATCGTTCAATTTCCTACGAATCACTTTGCGATATAAAAGTAGAAGCCAGGACTGTATTAGAAATATATTATCTGACGTGCGAGAAGGTTATGCTTTGCTCGTTGCGATCGATCTGTAAATTGCGCGCATCATTCACGTGTTTTGACAGCGTGAGACGACCTTAAGGCCGTCCGACATGAAACGAGAGACAGTTGTGACGCGTAACAGATGCCCACCCGGAACGAACATGCGACGATGTATACCCGAGGATTCTCTATGGTCTTCCTTAAACGGCGATTAGCGTTTCGCCAATTGCCCGAGAGTAATCGCCGATACGGTTATATTAATGGCTCCGCAATCCTCTCGCGAACGGCTTCATCGGCCACTCTCGCCCACGCGTTCTTTCCGAACAAGGATCATCCGTTAGGAAAACTCGCGAAGACCACCGCGCGTCAGCTGGTGCGTGTTCTCCGAGCGGAGTCTTGTACTCGCCGCGTCTCTCTCTCTCTCTCTCTCTTCCTTCCTAGGAGAGCAGCCTCCGTTGGCTAAACGCGACCTTATCACGCGCGTATATGATGAAACCATTAGGACGCTCGCGTCTACCCACATGTTTCCTACACTGATTTAGAAATCCGCCGTCTGCACGCCTACCTCGCGTATCGCCCTTCGAGACGGCAGGGTGAACGCGAGAGGAAGAGCAAGGAGGGAGCGAGAGAGAGAGAGAGAGAGAGAGCGAGCACGCCGATAATGCACTTCTAAGCGTTGGCCTTCCCGCCGATCTTTCCCACGTGAGCTCATTACGCACCGGCTTCGTCTTTTTTAACGTCACCCACTCGGTATCCGCGGGATGACTCTAACGCGATCCGCGTGCACTGTCATGGCGAGAAACGAGACGACGGACGTGATTTGTTCAGCGGACATGATATATTTGTTTCAACGAGGACTACCGTCGATTTTCACGATTCAACCGCTTCTTTTTCTATGCAGTCGATGAAACGGTTCTCGCAGCGTCTGATTTTAAGGGGACGGCCGAGTCTAAGAATTTTACCGGTAGGATACTGACATTTTTCCGCAGAATGCACGTCGTATTGGTCGCACGAAAAGTCGAGCGAAAAGTCCGCAGAAATATTATGTATCTCGGTTAGATTTTCCGTTAGACATGATGAAACAGAGTAGCGCGCAATAATCACATATTTAAATCGCGCTTATATTTTACGTAAGATTTCCATGTACAAGATGCACGAAAACAGTGGCGTGATCGCATGTGTCATTTATGTAACGCCTTTTGAAAATCGTCTCGACGTTATCGACGATCAGATTCGCTCGTCGTCGGTCTTGGCTTCCCCTTAATATCAATTCCGCCAATACCGTTCTATATTTCCGCGAAGTGAAGTAAAAAAGAAAATAAGAAAGAAGTAGAAATTGTAATGAATAGAAACGACATTTATATCTCCGCGAGATATAACGCGGTACCGCGGACTCCGGGCTCTCCGGCGACGGAACCGGAGCGAGAAGAGTTGACACGCACGCGCTGGCGATCGCGGTTAATCGGCGCGCACGCGTTAATTGATTGACGATCGATCGCGCGTGCCGCGTGCGTTCAATTAACGCCGCGGGAACCGTTTAGAATCGACGCGGCGGCCGGGCCGCGAGAGATTACAGCCGGTTTTCGTAGGCCGCCGCGCAAAAACCCGTTGATTGGAATCTCCCTCGCGGCGGACAGACACCGGGGAGAGCTCGGGTCCGTCCGTTCGCTACCTGGAAACCCGTGCTCGTGTGGAAGCGGTTTTCTTTGAGGTTTCCTGCACCGGCCGCGCTGACGACACCTTTGACGCTTTGATTCCCCGGAGCTAACGGCGGCGCCACGGCCTTGCCAATAAATTATAGAATATTTATTGGCCTCCGCGAGAGAGAAGACTCCCTTCTTATGATCGGGATCGCCGCAACCGCATTGCGACACACCGCTCTCGTGCGATTCCCGATCGCCGCGTATCTCCTTCCCCCCCCCCCCCC